CCGGAAAGGGGGGAACAGAGCTGTTCACGGAGTTCAGGAGGGTCTGTCGGGTTTTAGAGGTTGATCTTCTTACTGAAAGGCATGCGAAGTCCGGGGGCGAGGGGAGATATGACAGAGCCCCAATTCCGCCGCAGCAGCCGCAGGGAAACCCGTCACCACAGGCTTTCGAGTCCTGTAGACCCCCTGTGAGTCCCCCTTTTTCCCGGCCCCCTTTTTTGATGTGGGTTTTGGAGGGGACGAGTGAACATTCACGTGTTGTGAGTTACATCGCCTTCAAAGGGATTAAAGCTAATTCGGATTCGACAATAGCTCTGCTAGTTATTTCTGAAGAGCATGGGTTTATATAAGGAAAACCTTTTTGTTTATCAGATCCATGCATTGTTGCCCTTGATGACTGAATTACTTACTATAATTTCACAAGTCATGATGCGGTTTCTCATTCTTCCGAGATCGAGACTCCCCCGTTTTTTATCCTGCCCGCGCCCCCCGCGGCCCCCGGGGCCCCCTTCCCAGAGCCCAAAGCTCAAGCACACCCTCCCCCCGCCCTTTCCATTTCTACCGGGTTTAGCTTGCGGCGAGATGTGTACGACAGCCGGTTGACCCAGGTTCGACAGAAACGGCAGCAGGTGCTGTGGGTTGGTGGTGGGGTGCGTGGGCGGGGGTGGGCGAGGTAACCGCCAGGGGTGGGTGGGTGGGGGGGGGCTGGGGAGGTGGGGGGAAAAATGAAAACCCAAAACACGTCCCAGCAGGGAAAGGGATGTCATGCGCCGAATAAATAAAAACACATTCAGTTTATTTAATGAAACATTAAGTTTATGAAACAGCACGGTCAGTAACCCCCTGAGTAAGCCCTTCCCCCGGCTTGTGCGTGTGCTTTCAACAGCACCAGAAACAACAGGATGTAGACGCGAGGCCGGCCCCGCTGCGCTGCAGCTGTGTTTCGGCCCCCCGTCAGGGCCAACGACGGTGCTCGTCGCCCTTTCTCAGGGCGAGCTTTGCCCACACAGTGTAACATCCCCTCACCATCAACACCAACATGAACAGTAGCAGCAACAGCTGAAACAACATCAACACGCGCCAAAAGTTCTTGTAAGCGAGCAGCGCTTCCCCCCACTCCAATCAAAGAATGCACATACGTTGCGTGGTTAAGGAACGAAATGCTACAGAATTTAGTAAAGTGCCAAAATCCTAAGATCACTATAGAAGAGCCAACTACCAACCACCAACCAGCATTCTAACCGTTGGCCGCCGCCCACCCACCTGCTTTTCCTTCATCATGGCGCTGCTCAAGCCCGAGGCCAGCACCAGCACCACCCCCTGGACCAGCGGCTTGTTCTGCAATGTGGGTTGCCGTACAGGTGCCGTACAGGTGAGCCCCGATAAGGCGGGGGTTACGCCCAAAGGAGGGACGGGCAGCACGTGTCTGTTTACACATGACCAGAAAACACACACGCGACACGCCGTGTACCCGAGATGCGCTCCACCTTTCGACCCACCCACCGCCTCCACCGTTTTCCTCCCCCTCTCCATCCCCCTCTTCCTCCCCCTCTCCCTCCCCCCCCGTCCTCCCCCCTCACCTTCACAAAGGCCCACCTGGGCGACTCCACCAGGTTGCCCGCGGGGGAGAGCACCCACGTCACGAGGGCTTGGACATCGCGTAGCGCGATAGGGTGGGGGGAGGGACCGCCGCCGGGGGCGCCCTTGATCTCCACGCTGGGTGTAGCCTGAGGGCGGCAAGAGGGAGGGGTTGGGAAGACGAGCCACGTGAACGAGTGAAGCTGATGCCACGGAGGACAGACTGATACGAAAAGGGGGGCGCGGGGAATGGGGGTTGAGAGGAACCACTGACGATTTAAGCAGAGACCAGGACAAGGGAAAAGCGGGAGGGAGAGAGGGAAAGGGTGGTATGAGCAATCCATATGCTGTGCGGTGCGGTGGGAGCAACGTTGCAGACAAACAGACAAACGAACAGACAAACAGACAGACAGACGGACAGACACGCAGACAGATAAGTTGAGAGTTTGAAGGAATGTGTGCCACCAGATCCACGCAAGACTGTTGTGTCTATTTTCCCACCCCACCCCCCACCCCACCCCACAACTGGCGGCTGAGAGAAAGTGGCGACGGGGTACACGCCAAACACAGCCGGATGGACAAACAGACAGACAGACAGACAGGTGAACGGACGGAAAGACGAACAGATGGATGGATGGATGATGTTCCGAGTGGGACAAAAAGCCGTATACCCACTTACACGCACACGCGCCCCTGCGCGTCCTTCAATAACCCACCTCCTTATGCACCTCCGCCACGTACTTGCCACCCCCTGCCGCCTCCGCTGCTACTGCTGCTAGTGCTGGTGTTGCTACAGCCGGCGATGGGGCCCCCGACCTAGCTCCTGGAACCGTGTGCCTGCCCACCTTGGCACCTGATGTAACACCTCCGCCTCCGCCTCTGCCGCCGCCATGCGCTGTCCTTGCACCGCTTCCTCGGGTGCCGCCACCAGGTCCTTTGCCGTCGAAATCTGGAACGTTCGGCGTCTCCAAACTCTGAAGTCGGGCCTTCAGAGCAGCTTTGTTGGCTTCGAATATCGGAGATTTTGCTATCGATGCGGGAGAAGCAGCAGTGGCAGCTGGGGCGGTGGCGGAGGGTTTGCCTTCGGAGTGCTTGTTGTGTTGTTGGTGTTGGTGCTGCCGGTGCTTTTGTTGGGCTTTGTGCTGACGACTGGGTTGTTGCTGGGCATGTTCGTGTTGCTCGTGTTGTTAAGCAGCCCCTCGCACAAATGTGTCCGGTCGTACTTCGCGAATAAAGTGTTCGTACATCGTCCCAAGAAAGGCAGGAGCGAATTTTGACGCGCAGATGCGCGCTTGCGATTCACAAAATGCGCTTGTACAAGTGTATATAAATTTTCTTGGCGGATGAGGACCACGTGCGCCAGCGCGTTGCGCAAGTGGGCATGTTGGCCATAGCCGCACGCGGCATGCATGCTGGACTATTGCCTGGATGCTTTGCAGAAACTGAAAGCACCCAAAGCCAACATCGTAGCTTGCAACTCTGGGCTCGTGAAACTGCCGCGGAAGATGAAGCACTGGCGAAGAGGCAGTTGTATGCAGCACCTTGTTCAGAGTAAAGTCAAATTACAAAGTTGCGCAAAGTATAACATACATAAACTTAATTAAACATAAGAACAGATAAGACGTTTAGAGCCTTGTCGGTGACATGGACGCCGCTGTTGGTTTGGAACAGCTATTTGCTGTGCATAGGGACGTGCCCGCGTTAGCCGTGTTGCAACAGCTCAGGATGGATTTCAGCCAGCAACAGCCTCAAGAGCTGCTGCACAACCACCGGGAATGTCTTCAGTTGGGCACGTGTAGTTTTGGTCGGCGGGGTCGAGCAACGTACGCAATGCGCACAGAAACCAAGGTGCAGCGTTCTGTAACATCGCCAACATATCCGGTACGCGGTGGCAGGCTTGCCGAGCACGAAATGAAGGGGGGGTCGCATCTCACCATTCAACTAAGCATGCATGTGCTCGGTTGAATGCTCGGTAGCGTGCGAGTTTACCCCTATCAGGATGTTTGTTTGCATATCCCTCCAAGCGAGAGGGCTTGCACCTATGCTGATGTTCGTTCCAAGAAGTGAACTGAGGACTGATGCTACGGTGAAAGATTTGCACGTAAATTCGCCCGTGCAATAAAACGCCCTGTAACTCGCTTACGCTAATCTCACATTCCAATATGCCACTGCACTTTCCTCTCCAGCCTGGCCACATTCTCTTCCTCGCAAACGTACTTGGGCACCTTACAATCCAACACCATACGTGCTTTGGAAACGCGGGCAGCTGCTTCACAAGGACCCCCCTATTTGGTATTCTCTTCTAAGTAGCGCGGCGCTGTAGTCTGCTGATGTATTATCACGGCGTCCTTGGTTTTGGAGACTGTGCCGGGCCTGATTGTACGGTTCTGGCTTCAACGCCGGCCTGTGACCAGCATCGGTTCCGTGCCGACCATGCTTTGGGTAAAACCCTAAAACCCTACAGTTAATCTTGCGTTGCTTGCGCGGCGGGTCCGCAAATGTTTCGTGGCCGTCTGCGACTTCGCCCGGCAACTCGCCATCCTCAAGGTCGCTACCGTTATCCATCTGTGTTGGATTGACCCATACTAGATGACTCGATTTTCCTCCTTTCATGCTGAAGGTAGAGCTAATTCCACGAGGGGAGTCGTGCCCTGTAAGTCTCCGTTCGACTGGGGCGGCGGAATGTCCCGGTTCTCCTGCTTTGAACGCTTCGCAAAGCTTCTTAGCTAGATATCCTGTTGTTATATAAACGCCAGCCTCAGACCGTTGATACGAGTCCAATGGTGAGGTGAACCTTTGCCCTGTAACAAACGGTGATATCTGCCTGACTTATTGCCAGGTTGGGGGTCCTCCGTAACACTTATGAACCATGAAAGAGAAGTGGTATGCTTGCTCCGCAAACTTGCCGTGCTCTGGATCCGAAACCCATTCCTTCCGAAACAGTGAAACAGCATGCAACACGAATGCACACGGGTTGCTCCATCTAACAAATACTGTGCTGGATATGAACTAGAAATTTTATGTTTGGCACACCGCCTCATGCATTTCTGAGGCAAGGCCATTTTTACTTGCTAAATAGACTGCGATCGTTTTTACTACTGTAGTTCCCCCACGACCCTTTTTATTTCTCATACATTGTATAGGTATGCGGCCACCGACACGCCGATTTGACAAATCCAAGACCAAGGCCAAGGCCTTGTTGTAGTTGCAGCTGGTTACGAACCCCCAAAACAAACACCAAGGCCTCACCAAAACTGGCTCAGCTTGAGAAACATTATGGCCCCAGCCAATCATCCCCAAAACCCACAAGCATTAGCGCTTAATCAGTTCCACTTGTTAAGTGGCTTGCTTTCCCATCTCTACACGGCATCAGCTGCCAGGTGCTACCTCCACCGCTCCTGGCGCTGCCATCCAGCACTTTTGGCTCTCCACATTATCGCCGCTGTGCTCGCACACATCCGTACATGAGTGATCACCGACCCGGAAAGGTAAACCACCGCAGGCCATTATTCACCCCTCACCGCACTACCTCCTCTTCCCCTACACGCACACGTACGCAAACCTACTACCGCATGAATCCTCACCACACACTCCCCCTCCTCCTCCACAAGTACCTCCCCTGTAGGGGCTACACGCATCATATGCGCCACAGGATCCGCTTCTGCTTAACGAAAAGCTGAGTAATCAACGGACCGGAATGCAACGCTGGCATCTACACCAACGGACCGTCCGTGATTCGTAGTGAGGCCAGAGGTCCACATGGAATATGCAAACCGGACGCTCTACACCACCTCTATATTCGCTTTCTGCTTCCGTCCCCTGCCAAGAAAGAGATGGATCGCAGAGGCTAAGATAAAAATTTGTCCACAAAATTGTCTGGCGAGTACGGCAAGGGTACAGCACAGGTACAGAGAGCTGAGAGGTGGGGCAGGCTGCGATATAGAATGTGAGACGAAGAGGAACGCCAGGTAGGAGAGAGTGTGAGGATGATGTGGCGACAGCCACAGGCAAGCATAATGATTTGACCTAACAGGGCTGGGGACGGTGGCAGTAGGGCACGGCAACCCCGGGCCACGTGGCTACCGCTCGCACCTCCCATAGCCATTCCACTCGGCACAGCGTTCGAATAGGCCCGCCGCAAGCCGCGCGAACTGTGTCCGTGCGGTCGACCTGGTTGGGTTGGGAGTGGCATCGAGCTTGGTGGTGATTGGGGTTGCACAGAAATTAGTTACGGTACTTCTATGGGTAATTGTGTGAAATGTGACGCTGGAAGACTTAGGATAAACTAAACTGCAAGCCAAGCTTTGTATGTTGAGGAGACTCCTTAACTATGACTCGCCGCGGGACATAGGCCACGCCTTGCGGCCTCGGTGAAGCTGGTGCAACCGCATCTTTCCGGAATCCAATTGAACACACGAGGCGACGGATAACTGAAACCGAGCACAATGCTGTTGCTTCCGATTACGCAAAATCACACTTACGAAGAGGACTTGGATGTGGTAACGACTCCATGACACGTTTGGCCACAGGTGGGCCAAGCTTTGTGTCGGAAAGGCTGTGTTGCTCCTTTTGAACCTGCTGGCTGGCCCTTTCCAGGATCCGGGTTCGCTGAAGTAGCTGCACGCACTTCATACGTGACCCTTCGGGTTGCGCTCCTGATTCTAGGTAATGCGGACACTGCGAATAAGCATCGAGCGCTACTACTTGCTGTGCAAGCAGAAGTGCTAGGAGGACAAAGGGACATTTCCAGTTGACTAGAGCCTCCGCCCTGACTAGAGCCTAATGCGAGCCTTATAGGTGCAGGCGCCGCACGGTCTTGGTAAGCAACCACGATTCCACCCTCGGTGGTGCCTAGCCACCCTGCCACCAGGCCCGCGCACCAAGCACCACCAGCAGCGCCGCCACGCGGTTCCGCGCGCGGCTGCAGCTACCGCCCCGCCACCACAGCCTAGTTGTACAGCTCTGTGCGCAGCAGTCGCTGCTGGCGGCTGCACGTTGCCGCTGCCAGCCAGCCTCCTGCCACATCCTGCATGTTTGCCACCCAGCTCGGCTGCGACTGCGGCAAGAGAATGGCAAGCTCCTACGACAATGCCTACAGTACAGCGGGAGCACTGCTCATGCTCTTGACCTCCGACAACTCCGACACACTGCCTGTGATGGGCGGCTCCTGCAGCTCTGCAGTTTGAAGCCCGATGAGGACGTTTTCTATGGAGCGATAGTCCCGGAAGGTCCAGCTCCCAGCCATCTTGCCATCCCGCTGTGCCCGGTCGAGGCTCAGCTGCACATGGGCGCTGAGCACGCGGCGAAAGGGGACCACCGTGCTGCTGTAGTATTGTAGGGGCCGCGCCTCCAGGTCGCCGTTGCAGGGCCGACGGCGGGGATGGTGACGGTGGCAGGGCCGACGGCGGGGATAGTGACGGTGGCTAGGGCGACAGCGAGGTTGGTGATGGTGGCAGGGGTGACGGCGGGGATGGCGACGGTGGCAGGGGTGACAGCGAGGTTGGTGACGGTGGCTAGGGCGACGGCAAGGTTGGTGACGGTGGCAGGGGTGACAGCGAGGTTGGTGACGGTGGCTAGGGCGACGGCAAGGTTGGTGACGGTGGCAGGGCCGACGGCGAGGTTGGCGACGGTGGCAGGGCCGATGGCGGGGATAGTGACGGTGGCTAGGCCGACGGCGGGGTTGGTGACGGTGGCAGGGCCGACGGCGGGGATAGTGACGGTGGCTCGAGTGACGGCGGGGTTGGTGACGGTGGCAGGGGTGATGGCAGGGATGGTGACGGTGGCAGGAGTGACGGCAGGCATGGTGACGGTGGCAGGGGTGACGGCGGGGATGGCGACGGTGGCAGGGGTGATGGCGGGGATAGTGACGGTGGCAGGGCGACGGCGAGGTTGGTGACGGTGGCAGGGGTGACGGCGGGGATGGCGACGGTGGCAGGGGTGATTGCGGCAGCGGTTCCGGTGGCTAGGGTGACGGCAGGGATGGTGACGGTTGCTCGGGCAACGGCGGGGATGCATATGGCGACGGCGGCAGGGCCGGCGCCGGGGATGGTGATGGTAGAAGGGGCGACGGCGGGTGGCTCGGTTGACGGCAGGGTTGGTGACGGTGGCTCAGGCAGCGCTGGGGTTGGCAGCGGTTGCAGGGGCGACGGCGGGGACGGTGATGGTGGAAGGGGAGACGGCGGGGTACTAAGGCGAGGGCGGGGTTGGTGACGGTGGCAGGGCTGACGGCGGGGATGGTGACGATGGCAGGGCCGACGGCGGGGATGGTGACGGTGGCACGGCCGACGGCGGGGATAGTGACGGTGGCAGTTGTGATGGCGGCAGGGGCGACGGTGGTTTGGACGATGGCGGGGATGGCGAAGGTGGCCGAGGTGATAGCGGCAGCGGTGACGGTGTTTAGGGTGGCGGCGGGGATGGCGACAGCAGCTCGGGCAACGGCGGGGATGCATACGGCGGCGACGGCAGGTACGGCGCCGGGGATGGTGATGGTAGAAGGGGCGACGGCGGGTGGCTCGGTTGACGGCAGGGTTGGTGACGGTGGCTCAGGCACCGCTGGGGTTGGCAGCGGTTGCAGGGGCGACGGCGGGGATGGTGATGTTGAAAGGGGAGACGGCGGGGTACTAAGGCGATGGCGTGGTTGGTGACGGTGGCAGGGCCGACGGCGGGGATGGTGACGGTGGCAGGGGTGACGGCGGGGATGGCGACGGTGGCAGGGTTGATGGCGTCAGGGGCGACGGTGCTTTGGGTGATGGCTGGGATGGCGACGGCAGCTCAGGCAACGGCGATGGCGGCGGTGGAAGGGGCAATGATGGTGGAAGGGGTGACGTCGGGTTGCTAGGGTGATGACGGGGTTGGTGACAGTGGCAGGGGAGACGGCAGGGATGGCGACGGTGGAAGCGGGTACGGCGACAGTAAAAGGGGCGACGGCGGTTTTTGTGACGGTGGCTCGAGTGACGGTGAGGTTGGTGACGGTGGCAGTGGCGACGGCAGGATTGGTGACGGTGGCAGGGGTGACGGCGGGGATGGCAACGGTGGCAGGGGTTATTGCGGCAGCGGTTTCGGTGGCTAGGGCGACGGCGAGGTTGGTGACGGTGGCAGGGCCGACGGCGGGGATGGTGATGGTGGCAGGGCCGATGGCGGGGATAGTGACAGTGGCAGGGGTGACGGCGGGGATGGCGACGGTGGCTTGGTTGATGGTGTCAGGGGTGACGGTGCTTTGGGTGATGGCTGGGATGGTGACGGTTGCTCGGGCAATGACGACGGCTGCGGTGGAAGGGGTGGTGATGGTGGAAGGGGTGACGTCGGGTTGCTAGGGCGATGACGGGGTTGGTGACGGTGGCAGGGGAGACGGCAGGGATGGCGACGGTGGAAGGGGGCACGGCGATGGTAAAAGGGGCGATTGATGGTTCTGTGACCCCAATCCCCACCGGGGCCAAGCTTTACCCGCCTCCGTGGAGGTGTAATAAAGCTCAACATCTTTATGAGAGCCCTGAGGTCAAGTGACGTTGCTATGCGCTTTCATGCCTAGACTTGGAGGCTCTCTGTACACACCCCAAAGTTGAGTTCCCCAGATTCGTTACAAGGGCCGTTCTGTTGTTGTTAGTGCATAAGAGAACACCTGCAATACAGCTAGGTGTTGGGGCCTACACCTAGGTGTACAATACAGCTAGGTATAGGCCCCAACGTAGCCGAGTGGCAGCACGACATGCCACGGACTAAAGGTAAGCCCCAGCTGCCGGTGAAATGCAAAGCCGGCATGAAGCATGCGTGCATGCGTCGGTGCGTGAAGCGACATGCATGAAGTCGGAAGCAGTTTCAAGTGTGCTGCCAGTCCACGTGAACTTTCGACACCCTACAGTACAGTAGGTGCTCGCTCGCTCGCTCGCTCCAGCAGTCCTGTTCAAAACCCATATCAGCATGTGTCCTAGCTTCCCTCAATATGCCTAATAGCAAAACGGTCGTCAGGGCTGAGCCGCCAGGTCACAACCCACCATGCAGCACAACCCTGTCCCTACCTACTCTTCCCACAATGCGTACCCAGAATGCGCATTCCGTGGCAGTTAAGGCTTCACTACCACCCCACGCTACTGCCCTCAGGCCCGCCACCCAGCACCTGGCTATCACAAGCCGCTGCCGCAGGTATTGTTCAGCTACAGCTCTACACCCTGCACCGGCCGCTGCCGCACCCCTCTACATACACACTGTGCACATTGCAACACCTGCACACGCAAGGCTTGTATCGCTCGCAAGGTAACACCTAGAGCCGCTGCCTTTGCTGTTGCACAGCAATTGCACACATTCCTTTTTTGTAGTTTACACACACACACACAGTCAGTACGCACGGCAATGCATACACGTCTTTCGCTAAAGTCTTCTGTTCTCAAACACACACAGTCACACACACACGCAATCCACCAAGCAATCTGCTGAATTATATTCTGCAACACACATTCCATCCCTGATGTCTCTTGGTCTCATACAAGCACACCCCACGTACAAACCCACACCCACACCGCCAGAGTCCCGCCACACCCAGTGGCCCAGCTCAATGGTGCCAAGCCCCTGCTGTTCATGCCCACCCCAGCGGTGGTGGAAGGATGCGACGGCAGGACAGCGCGGCTTAGTGATGCCCCGTGCTGCCGGGGAGCACCTTGTCACCGCCAGCAGTGCATGCGGCAGAGGCTGCGGTAGTGCTGCGGTATGGATGACTGAATGCGCAGTGCACACGGTCAAGGAGCACCAGGTGTGTGCGCCGGTTGCCTCACTCCCTAACCCTCAAAAGGCCGGAACCTGGCCAGCAACTCCTCCTTCGTTGGGGGTCGGAAGGACTTGGGCGGCTCCTTGAACCCCAGCGGCTCGTACACCTCAGGCAGCCGCAGGAGCGACATGAAGGCCTGCGCACTCGTGTTGTCCCGCGCCGCCTCCAGAATCCCCTCATCCCCGTCAAAGCTCTCTCCGCCAACTGAGCCGCCTGAGCTGTCAGCGCCGCTGCTGCCAGACCTTCTGTGCCTCCTGCCGCTGCCAGCCCCCGCCCAGGTGTCGGCGGCATCGGCGGCATCACTATGGCCGCTGTCACTGCCAGCCCCCCTGCCTCCACTGCCGCTGGCGCCTCCCCCGCTACCGTGGGCCCCTTCCCTGTGGCTGTTGGTGGCGCCTTGCCCGCCGCTGCCAGAACCTCCCTCATCGTTCCTGGTGGCCCCTCGCCCCAAACCTCCACCGGTACTGCTGGCCTCTTCAGTCCGGCTTGTCTCCAGCAGAGCCCGTATGAACCCAAGCGTTGAGCTCAGAGGGCTCCTGTCCGCCGCTGTAGAGGGGGACTCCTCCAGCACAGCGGGAAGTGGGGCCGGCCCCGCCACGTGAATGGATCTCTTTGGCGCGTCTGTATCCTTGCGGCCGGCGTGCACCACGTAGTGTCGGTTGAGGTCACCGAACAGCACGATCACGTCGTCTGTGTTGGGCAGGGTATGGGAGCAGCCAGCTCAGTGGGAAGCAAGTATGGCATTGCGCGGGATGGTGTAGCGCTGAAACCTGTATCGATTCCTGCACAGGCCTGTGTCAATCCAGCACTGGTGGCAGAGCATGCCAATCGGCACTCACCAGTCGGCCAGTCCTTCATCTGGTTGATCGCCAGATACTCGAGCAGCGCCTGGGCACGCACACTCGGCAGGCCGTCCTTCAGGGCCTTCTCGGTCTTGGCCTCGTACAGCGCAATGACTGAGTCAATCATGGACAGCAGTGCACTAGTCGTCGTGCCCGACGTGACGCGCAGCTTATACCCTTCAAACAGCTCCGCACCGAACCGCTCCTGGCAATCCTTCCAGGCTGCCTCAGGGACGAAGATGTAGTCCGTCTTGGATGTCTTGATTACGATGTTGATGTCGCCGCAGAGGACCCCACCCGCCAGCCACTCGATGGCCTGCACGGGGAGGACCACCACATCTGCAGGGCAACAACGACATGGGATTGGGCACAGCTTTAGGAAGTCATTAAGTGACGGGCACAGATCCCGAAGGCCGCAAACTGACGGGCAGAGGTTGACACAATGACGGGTGCACAAGTCCCATGCAACCCCATATATGCGAACAAGATGTCCCACTACCACTCCTCCGGCATGCACCTGAGCATCCTGCATATGCATACTCATACCTGCTGGGGCGATCTGCTGTAGATATTCCACCGCGCTCGCGATGGTTTTAGGCTCATCCTCACCGGCCCTTCCCCAGCTGAACCTGGGCGGCTCCTCGGGAGACCAGGGAGACCAGGGCTTCGCAAATGGACAGCAGCACGGCGCCTGAGCGGCTGTGACATAGTTGAACCGCACGCTCACCGCCTCCTCTATCTGCTTGCGTTGTGTCGATGAGCAGGATGATGGAGTGACCGTGACTATGGGGACAGATAGCTGGAGGTTCTGCGCAGCCGACAGGCAGGGCATGCTCGGACGGAGTGGTTAGGGTGTGTTGTATGGAAAGGAGCAGTGCTCGCAGGCAAATGAGTGCACCAAAGGTGATAGCATACCCCTTCAATTGCGACCCTGCACAACAAGGGCCAACCCTCACCGTCAGAGTCGCTTGAATCTTGTTAAGAGAGGATTCCAGCCGCGTCCATGCGCCTCCTGCACAGCGGCGCGCAAGGATGTAGATAGCCATCAAAACTGAGCAGCACAACGTGCAGCACCATGTTGTTTATATATGTTAGACCTTGTTTGACGTCACAGCCACCCCGGGCGCCTCCTTCCGCATGTGAGCACGGAATGGCATTACCTGTTGGAGGAGGATATGATGTGGTATAACGCACGCAGCATATGGTCCTGCAAGGGGCCCCATCCCGCACCGCAGCCCCTTGCCACACTCGTGTCGCGTGCATACCCTTGGTGCATACCATGTCCCAGCACCCCGCCCACCACCTGCTGGTGCTGGTGAACTCCCCTGGTCTGCATCCCCTGTCACTTGGCTCCTTAAGACGTTCCTTCGACCGAACCCGACGCATCGGTATGGCCGGAGTTTGAAATGGAAGATATGCGGAGGAGGATTAAGGATGCCCGGTTCAACCCACACGGATTGTGGACATGGCTGCGTGGGGGAAAACCACCTCCTTGCGGGTTCTCAGATATTAATGCTTTTACCGAGCATTTTTCCAAGGTGCTTAATGGTACAGGAGAGACGAGGCAATGCCGCAATGAGGGTATTCAGTTTAGATGGCTGGACGAGGACCAGGTGACGCACAGACGGGAATTAGCTGCTTGGCTTAACAAGGATTTTACGGAGGATGAAATTGCTAGTGGCCTTAAGGCTATGCGCAACAATAAGTCCGCGGGCCTGGAGGGAACCCCGGCCGAGTATTGTAAGTACGTACGCTATCAGGGAAACTGAAGGGCAGCAACCCGTGCTTGTATTGGCGCCTTACTTGACGGTGCTATTCAACCGCATATACGGAGCTGAATACCCGAGGGAATTCACGACTAGCACCCTGTCCCCCGTATTCAAAAAAGGGGACGTGTCTTGCTGTGACAATTACCGGGGAATCGCAGTTGGGGGTCCCCTGAGCAAACTTTATGCCAATGTCATAGGGAGGCGATTAAATAATTACTGCGAGGGCAATAGGCTACGTGCCGTTAGCCAGGCTGGATGTAGGCATGGTTTTGGCACCGAGCATCACTTGTTTACAATTAAGGCATCTTATCTCGAAGCACACTGTGGCCGGAGCCAGGCCGCTTATTATCATGCAAATTGACTTTAGTAAGGCGTTCGACTCCGTTGACCATGAGACACTTTGGGATTTCCTAATGTTGTATGGGCTACACGGGCGCATCCTCGATTCTTTAAAGGCTAGCTATGCTGACGTGAAGTTTCGGGTCAAGTTAGGAAATAAGTTGGGACCTGAATTCAAGGTGGGGCGTGGTGTTAAGCAAGGGTGTCACCTTAGCGTAACCCTTTTTGGACTCTTCATAGAAGTATTCGCTCATTATATTGATGCCCATGATGCTAATTGCCGTGTATGCCTCCCCAGCCGATGGAGCACCCTTCGTGAGCAGAGTGTTAGCCTGGCGGGCGGTGATCTCACTAACCTACTTTTCGTTGACGATGTGTCACTGGTAGCGACAGGGCAGGATAGAGCTGAATGCCTTCTGGGGCTACTCGAAGCCTACTGCAAAGCGACGGGTATGGCCGCGAATGCCGCCAAGTGCGAGGTCCTCATTTTTGGGGGTGCTACACGTGAGCGGAAGCGGCTTGATGAAGCTGAGTACCGGTTAGGTGGGGCGGGGTTGCGGGTGCTGACCGGCAACAAGACGGCACGGTATCTCGGGTTGCACTATGGCCCAGGAGTGCAGTTCTCAGCATGTACCAAGCAACTACCGTCGCGTCCGGGTTCAAATCCGCCTGCCGACCTCTCGGGGTGTTTGAGAGGTGATGAAATGGGAGGTGGCCCCCATCTTGTGGACGGTGTAGGACGTGATAAAATCAACTCGCGAGCTGACCAGGAACTAAGTTGACACGCCGTTGATCCGCTAGATTTGGTTGGATGCTAGTGGTGCCAAACTCAAAGAGTACACTCTGAAGTCGGATGGGGTGAATGGCTTAGGGTGCCCCTCTAGCAGGGGAGAGCAGGGAATTGCCTCGGGAAGGAGGCCACTGGTGAAGCTTAGCCACCCTGTAACAACATCAACATCAACTACTCACAGCAGGGAGGCGGGCCACATTTGGGCTCAGCACCCTGTGTCGTGATAAGAAAATTACCACCCCCAAGATATGTATGTCTCTCTACAATACACTAGTTGTACCGGTGTTTTCTTATGGAGCGCAAGTTTGGGGACCTGACTTCATTAATGTGAATTTTGAAGGTGCTATGGCTAATCCCATGGTCCAGGAACAACGTGCTTACATGCGAACCGTAGTTGGGGCGAGGAGCCCGACTATGGTTTCCCTATATCGTGAGCTGTCACAGAGGCCACTCCAGTTCCATTGGACCAATCTTGTACTTAGGTTTTGGAACTCTGTGGTTAAGAGGCCGGGAACGTTGTGTCACCGGGCATTTGTCGCTGACCTGGAGTTGGCACTTGGGGGCGCCACTGAGTGTTGGGCAAGCAAGGTACTAGCCTTTCTTACTAGCTTAGGAGTGGAACCCCCCACTAATACGCGCGGTAATGATCTTATATCGTACTACACCACCCTTAATTTGCCAGTCGAGAGCATTCTTAAGGTTTTTGCCAAGCGGCTTGATGCTCGGTGGGAGTGCCCGAATACCTTGGGTGACCCCCGTGTCTTCCCCATAGGAATTACCGGAGCCAAGGCGTGTCGCTATATGAACTGGATGGGAGCTGCCCCGTCAAGGGGTGCGCGTCTTGATTGGCTGGAGCACACTTAAGGGACCATGCCCCAGCGACTTCATCATGTGCTCATGCGTTTTCGGTTAGGCTGTTGGGAGTTAGAGGTTAATAGACCTAATGGGCGTGAGCGCACCACACGTATCTGCAGGCTTTGTGACTGTGGAGCGGTTGAAGATGAGTTGCATGTTTTCGAAGAATGTCCCGCTTACAAGAGCATACGGGCTAAGTATGATGGTGACCTAGCCCTTACGGGGTGCAGCATGCGCACCACTATGACTGAGGCGCCACCCCTGGCATTGGCCAGGTACCTCTCGGAAATCTGGGAGGCCAGGCACGTCGCGCTGAGGCGCTTCGCCCTGAAGCGGACGAGGGAGAATGAAGATGACCTCCCGTGTACCCGCATCAATACCAATACAACGTCCATGGCCCCCCCGGCTTTTACGGACACACCCGCACTTGTGTGCGGAAATCGTAACTTGTAACTTTATTATGGGTTTAAGTTTGGAGTACTCGTATATGTGCGTTCTCTCGTCAATTTTCTGTGCCTCGTCGTTTCCCCGCCCGCCGCGGAGCACTAGAGCCGGAGTCTTAGGTCAGGTCAAGCCTGGGCTAGCACAACCAACTCACCAGCTCCAGCCGCGCTCCCCATGCCGAGGCCAGCCGCCGAGGCTGCACAACATGAGAGCAATTGAGGGGACACGTCGAGATGAGATCTTGGTGCGGGGTTGCTGGGTGCGTGTGAGTGAACTCCTTTCCAGATTTGAACCCGCACCACTCTTACCTTTCACGGACCTCATGAACTCAACAATTGCCTCGTTGTCACCGTCTATCGGAAACACCTCGAGCTCCTCCCCCGATAGTTTGGACAGGGCGAAGCACAAGTCGCCGAGCTCCTTCCCGCGCACATCCAGCGCCTTCGCGGCAGCGGTGAAAGCCGCAGCCGCCTCCTTTCTGCTGACCATTTGGCCTTCTTTCTGCTGACTACAGTAGTATGGAGGGCAGATCTTCAACCTGGTTCAGCGGCCCCCAACCACCAGCAGCTTCATGTAAAAGTTTCCCTTTGCGCATCCCAACATCAGACGCCAGTTACATAAGAAAAATGTCAGTGAATTCAAGCTTTAATCGCAGATTAGTAATGCGAGCTTGCGTAAGTAAGCTGGGTTAGTTGGGCGTAAGGCCCAATGCGTAACTGTTAGTCTAACTGTTTCGCAACGGCCCGTGTCCTCAGGGCCGTCATTTATTGCGCGCATTAAGCTGGTTAGCTTATCTTGTTTTTGTTGTTCAGCGCGCGCTGATCAACAAAACAGGTCCCGCGCCTTCGGCGCGCTTTCTGTTACTACACCGCTGTGCCTTCGGCTCGTCAGCGAGACCCATCAGGTAGAGTGCAGTGGAGAATATAAAGCACTAGCACCATAGAGTTAGCCCACCTTATTGAAGCACCTTTAGTAGTGCTAGTGGCGGCGGATGTCCCGGTATCGCTAGGCATGACTCCGCTGGTGGAGGCAACTCACAGCTATCCTACATAGCTAACTGGAATGTCACAGACTGGCATTTCCTCGAGGGCTTCTGCGACGCAGTTTATGCCCCCTGCTTTCTCCGGAGCGGGTCAACAACTCCCGCCCACCCCGGACCCAACAAGCTTGCCCCTGCAGCTACAACACTAAATGTCCTCTTGACGACGTATTTCATCAAGCTCATCCCCGAGGTTTGGGCGCGACGCTGAAGGTTTGCTCTTCAGCGGATCAGGAAATCGACGTCCGCCCACACCGGTGGTGGCTATGTGTGCGCTTCGTCCCATCCCTTCCGCGTGGCGACGGGCTCTACAACCCCAGGCGTGGAGTTTCCGGGGCAGCACGAGTAGCCCGATATGTCCACCACCTCCGTGCCCCTGCATGCTAGGGCCTCGGCGCGGCTGGCCGCTTGGAAGGCAATTGGAGCAGATGCGCGCACATTGCACGTCTTGAAGCATGGTGTCCCGGTGGAGTTTCGAGGTAACCGCCCGCCGCCTGCTTTTGACCTGCCAAGTTTTCCTGCTACAGACGAGCAGAGCCGTTGGTGGTTGGAGAAGGAGGAGCCTCGCCTGT